TGAGTACGTTGCTGCTGTGGAGGCTGGGAAGGAGGCGCGCAGGCTGCGCTTCCTGCTGGCAGAGTTTCAACTGCTGAGGAGTGAGGTTCCCACTACTCTCTTTGTGGACAACTCCTCCGCCATTTCAGTGGCAGGTGGCATGGGGCTCAAGGGGAGCCTCAAGCACATGGAGCGTCGTCACATGTGGCTGCAGCACATGGTCAAGCGCAGGAAGCTGCAGCTGCAGTACATCCCTACGAGCGAGCAGCCTGCTGACTACCTTACCAAGGCATTGCATTTCCCCGCCTTCAGTCGTTGCTTCGAGGCTGTGGGGCAGGTGAGGCTCTCGAGCGAGGGGAGTGAGACCTAGACACTCCTTGATGTGGATGGTGCCATGGCCTATCCATGGCTGGTGCGGTGCGTGTTTGCACTTTGAGAGTGCTTCGTTTGTGTGTGTTTCCCTTTGTTTTGGTGTGTATGTGTGTATGCATGCCCTGTGATTATAAAGGGCCTTGCTGTAGTATGGCAGGGGAGTGTTAGAGGGCCCTACGACAGCAAGGGCCCTCGATGACCTTTGACTTGGCAGGTCAGCGCCTAACGACTGAGTCTACTCGGCACCGACGCATGCGTTCGGTGGCAGTCACTAGTGACTGTGGGTGACAGCGAGCTACCGCAGCAAACTCGGCGGAGTCAGTGCAGGATGGCGTGGGTCTTTGGGAGTTGGGCGTGCTTCTTTGAGAGTCACGCCACTCCTTGCAGTGTTGGCTGGAGTGGCGTGCACGGAAGTGGTTTGCGCTGCTGAGTTGGGTTGGGAATTGGCCGAGGCGCGTTCACCCACCCACACGACAGTTTCGTGGGGTTGGGTTACTGCGCAGCGCCACGGCAACTTTGTGCAACTCTCCCGTAGCCATATATCTATTGTGTGTTTGCTTGTATGAACTTCATAGTTGATATTACAATTCTACTTGGTTTCTCACTTAGTCATTTGAGACCAACGCTACCCAAACGCTACCGAATTACTGACGCAACATCGTTCCCATAGCCGAAACTCTCTCGTCGTCGTATCGCTCTCCATAACATTCCTTCGTCCTCCCGAGATCGGCACTTATACCACGCCCGTCCTTAGATCGGTAACCACCCCAGGACACTAGGCCCGTGGCAAACCAGCCTAACAGACTGAGATCAAAGCCATCGAAATCAGTGTGCGTGGGATTAGCGCGAGCAGACGAGCAGTGTGCGTGGGATTCAAGTTGAAGCCTTTGGACGCAGTGTGCGTCGAGTTAGCGCGAGCAGGCGAGCAGCACGCGGGCAGCACGCGAGAATGCTGAAGCATCTGAGCCGCGTGCGCATCGAGTTCAACGCGTTCGATCGGCGCAACGCGGCGGCGCTGGAGTTTCTGGCGCAATGCAACTCGCAGAAGGCGCGCGACTCGAACCCTAAATGCGACGTCGCGGTGAAACGACGCACGGACGACCATCCTCCCTTCGTTCAGGTGCGTGAAAGTATTTGTCTCTGCGCTGCGCGGCTGTGACATTATACCGAGTTGACTTTTGAGTCGACTCAAAAGTCAACTCGGTATAATGTCACACGACGCACGGACGACCATCCTCCCTTCGTTCAGGTGCGCGAAAGTATTTGTCTCTGCGCTGCGCGGCTGTTCCGCGATGTTTCGTGGTATCTCTTCTTCTCCCCTGGCATGTTCACCATCCTCCGCGCTTTCGATATCTTGTGTTTCCCCCTGTTCCCTCGTGTTCCCCCGTTTCCCCCTTGCTCCCCTGTCTTCTCCTCCGTCTTCCCCCGTGTTCCCCCGTGCTCCCCCTGATTCCCCGTCTTCCCCCGTGTTCCGCCGTGCTCCCCCTGGTCCCCCGTCTTCCCCGTGTTCCGCCGTGCTCCCCCTGTTCCCCCGTCTTCCCCCTGTGTTCCGCCGTGCTTCGCCGTGTTCTCCCATGCTCCCCCTTCCGTTCCCCCTCCCGTGCTCCCCCTCCGGTGCTCCCCCTCCCGTGCTCCTCCTCCGGTGCTCCCTCTCCCGTGCTCGACTACTCCCCTCTTCCTGCCGTCCTACTGCACCTCCGTGCTAAAGCTGATTGTTTTCGTTTCGTCTCCGCAGCCCGCGGAAATGAGGCCTCCGCAGCCCACCTGGCTACTGTCGTAGTCGCGTTTCTGTCACCAAGTTCTTTGCCTTGTCGCCGCCATCCTGACACACGAGTGAACACTAGCTTGGTGTCATTGTGTAGATACGTGGCAGCAACTTAGGGAGTCACCTCACCACCTGTGAATTACAAGTTTTTGTCACCAGATTTGTTTCCTTGTCGCCCCTATCCTGACACACCCTTTCCTCCCATCCACTAGTAAGCCATCCAGTCATGCTCCACCCGTGTATCCTCCCTATAGGTCACGTTCAATAACGGGCAAGAGGAGACCATGGACTGCACTCAGTTGACTGCGCAGGTGAGCTTATCTCTTTTGCCGTCTGTGTCGCATATCTGCCCACACTAAGCTTCTTGATCCGTGCACTGCATGGCACCCCACTGCACTGCACTGCACTACACTGTACTGCACTGCACCTTACTTTGCTGTACTTACTTCCATCCGTCTAGATGAGGTTTTTACCGTCTGTTAGACGTGGGGTGGGGTGGGGTGGGGTGGGGTTGGGTGGGGTGGGATGGGATGGGATGGGATGGGATGGCGTGGGGTGAGGTGGGGTGGGATGCAGCTCAGCTCAACTCGCCAACCTTTGCACGTCTGTTGATCATTCCTCTGCCCTCTGCCCTTGTTCCCCCACCCCCCCCCCCCCCTCCCTCCCTCCCTCCCTCCCTCCCTCCCTCCCTCCCTCCCTCCCTCCCTCCCTCCCTCCCTCCCTCCCCCCCTCCCTCCCCCCCCTCCCCCCCTCCCTCCCTCCCCCTCCCTCCAGCACCGCCTCCCCCCCCCCCCCCCCCCCCCCCCCCCCCCCCTCCCTCCCTCCCCCCTGCTCAGAGCATCCGCAAGTGCATCTTGCAGCGAGCGGAGGAGATGTTCAAGGATGCGGGGCTGCAGTGCTGCTGCAGGGCTAGGGCTGCAGTTTCAGACATTTATTGTGCATCCTTTCTCCCTTTCAGCCCACGGTAATGTCTCTCCCTCTCTCCCCCCCTCCACCCTCTTCACCCCTCAGAGCATCCGCAAGTCTATCTTGCAGTGAGCGGAGGAGATGGAGACAGAGCAGATGTTCAAGGGTGCGGGGCTGCAGTGGTGCTGCAGGGCTACGGCTGCAGTTTCAAACTTGTATTGTGCACCCTCTCCCCCTTTCACCCACGGTAATGTCTCTCCCTCTCTCCCCCTCCACAGAGCATCCGCAAGTCTATCTTGCAGCGAGCGGAGGAGATGGAGACGGAGCAGATGTTCAAGGATGCGGGGCTGCAGTGGCCCGTGGTGATCCCCGAGCAAGAGGCGCAGCTGGCGCACCGCATGCAGGGGAAGAGGAGATGACTGGGTGCAGCAGTGTGTGGGATGGGTAGGTGATGGGTGGGTGATGGGGAGAGGTTATAGATGTTCTGAGATGCGGGGCTGCAGTGGCCCGTGGTTATCCCCGAGCAAGAGGCGCAGCTGGCCAAAAAGACTCAGGGGAAGAGAAGATGACTGCTTGCAGCAGTGTGTGTGGGATGTGTGGGTTATGGGGGCGGAGAAGTTACAGATGTTCAAGGATGCAGGGCTGCAGTGGCCCGTGGTGATTCCGGATCAAGAGGCACAGCTGGCCCAACGCAAGCAGGGGAAGAGAAGATGACCGCGTGATGCAGAGTGATGCAGAGTGATGCAAAGGCAGAGTGACATGCATGAGAATGGTTGATGCAGCCGAATCAAAACTGAGAGGGCGAAGCTGCGCGGCCGGCGATTGCGCAATAGCCGGCTGGCACTGAAATGAAGAAAGAGGCAGATGCCGGCAGGTGAATGTGGAAGAGTGTTCTGAGTGGAAGAATTTTCACTAACGAGGGGTTCTCTTCACTTCAAGCCCTTAAATAGTTCTGTACTGTATGTACATTCAAGATATCGCCACTGAATAGAAGTGTGAAAATCAGCGCCCAACTCACGTTGTAAGATGTGTGTGCTGTGCTGCCTTCACAATTCCACCGACCCGACCCTGACGTGCAGTAGTGATGTGATGTGATTACATACGGTACATCTGGGCGCAACATTTTTATAATGGGCCATCATGTTGTACATTACCGTAGCGAAACTACAGACACATACCACCGCAGCACTGAGAGTTTTGGCTCTTCGTTTAATGAAGCAAACAGCGCACTCTACGTTACAGTAATAGCAGAGATTCCTTTCCTCCCCTCCCCTTCCCTCCCATGCACCACCATCTTCACGTACCGTAACAGAACTTATCTGATATCAACCATTACGGTGCTTCACACAAGTTGAGTCTTAGGTATCATCTCTAGTCTAGGCATAGGGCAGTGTCTCCCCGGCCCTTCTTCCTCCCCCTCATCAATCCTCCATGCTAATCGCATCTTTGAACTTGCCATACAGCACAGCACCACCTTCAGCGCGCCCATTTCATACACAACAATTACCATACTCCTTCAACCCACACCCTCCCCCACCCCTTTCCTCCCTCCCCCCCTTCCCCCCCTCCCTCTCATCAATCCTCCTCCAGGTTAATAGCGTCCTTGAGCTACCCTTTTCTTAGTGCACCCATCTGAGCCACGAGGCTGCTCTTCTCCTCGCCACCTCGTGCGCTCCCTCAGCCCCCTCTCCCCTCCCCCCTTATCAATCCTCCTCCAGGTTAATAGCATCTTTGAACTTCCCATACAGCACCACCTTCAGCGCGCCCATCTGCGCCACGAGGCTGCTCTTCTCCCCCTCCAATGCCGCCACCTCGCCACTTGTTTTCTCCCTCAGCGCCTCAGCCCCCCCTCCCCCTCAGCCCCCCCTCCCCCCCCCCCCCCCCCCCCCCCCCCCTTTTTTATCAGTGCCTCTTCCTCGCCACTCCTGTGCGTCCCCCGTGCCTCCAGCAGCCAGCTGTCCCTCCACCCTAACCCTCATCAGTCCTCCTCCAAATTAATAGCATCCTTAAACTTCCCATACAGCACCACCTTCAACTCGCCCATCTGCGCCACGAGGCTGCTCTTCTCCCCCTCCAGCGCCTCCACCTCGCCGCTCGTCTTCTCCCTCAGCGCCTCTAGTTGCCCCTCCACGTCGTCCCTGTGCGTGTGCAGGAACACCTCCCCCGCCATGTACCGCACCGTGTCATCATCACATAGGATCAACTCGTTGCTTGCATCCTCTATGTTCTCCAGGTAGTCCTGGCAAGGGGGAGAGCAGCGCACATGGTGGGTAGAAGCAAACACAGCACTGTGTTGTCATCGTTCGAGATGCTGCAGTGATGTGTTGGGTCAGATGCTGCAGTGCTGTGTTGGGTCAGATGCTGCAGTGACGTGTTTGGGTCAGATGCTGCAGTGATGTGTTGGGTCAGATGCTGCAGTGATGTGTTGGGTCAGATGCTGCAGTGCTGTGTTGGGTCAGATGCTGCAGTGATGTGTTGGGTCAGATGCTGCAGTGATGTGTTGGGTCAGATGCTGCAGTGATGTGTTGGGTCAGATGCTGCAGTGATGTGTTGGGTCAGATGCTGCAGTGATGTGTTGGGTCAGATGCTGCAGTGATGTGTTGGGTCAGATGCTGCAGTGCAAGCCTTCTAGCCTCAAACTCCTCTCACCTTCTTGGCTTTGATCTCGTCATCCAGCTCGTGCAGACGGTTGTTGAGCCGCCCAAACTTGTTGATGTTCTGCTGGTCCTCCCATGTCACCTCGGGGTCCGCGCCCTCGCCCTGCCACACCAGGCATGGTTAGAAACAACACCAGTTATATCAGAAACACATAAGTTCTGCCAACGTGATTGCTCCATATGGTCAGCTCGTCCGCGCATCCCATGTCACCTCGGGGTCCGCCCTCGCTTTCAGCATACTAAGAATAAAAGCACAATGAACTCATTAAACCTCAATATGAATTCAGCATGTCACAGTAAGTACAATGAACTAAGGCGGTGCTGCCAATACACCTCGGCATGACTGACACTCACCTTCTGCATGACCGCGAATTGCCTAGGGCCTCGAGTGTACACCCTTGCGGCGCCTCAAAAGGCATTACCTCGAATAGCCTGCGGCGGCCGTGAGAGTGCACTCCTCGACACACGATTTAGTAAGCTAATTCTGTTGGCGGTTGCGTGGGGCAGTGTTGCCCCCAACCACCGAACGGTGCTGTTTTTGGTGCTCACAGTAGGGTGAGCTGCATGTCGGCGTGGGGCTGAAGTTGTGTTTTGAGTCGACTCAAAACACGACTCATTACACACGGTGCTGTTTTTGGTGATCACCTTCGAGTGGGGTGAGCTGCAGCTTCGCGTGGGGCTCAAGTTTGACTTCGTTGGGCATGGACATTGATGACAAACAGCCAATGTAACGCCTGTGGGCTAGTGTTAAGGGCAATCCGCTGCGCCAAATAACACCCTCGTTTTGACCCAGTGGGTAGCGAGGTGTTATAGCCAACGCGAAATCGGATTCGAATCGTGATGGCTAGCGAGATTTGCGCCTGCTACCACGGGCATCATCTACTACTAGAATCGGACGATCCTATGCCGCGTACCTTCTGCATTCTCCGGCGCCTGCTTTTCCGCCGGCTACGGAGTTGCACCGGCGCTAGGAGACCGACCGTAGGATCGGTGGCAATCGCGAGCGAGAGAAAGAGAGCGAGCTAGCGGTGTGACCGGCACGCAGTCCGCAGCGATCTTGCGACGAGCTGTCGTCGTAGGGATAGGTGATGTCGTGGGAACTGCTGGCGCTGTCGTTTGCGCTGCCTCCAGCTGCGAGGAGCAACTTGCGTCGGCGGTGACATTAGTCACAAAACTGAGTGAGGTGAAGGGTTGGCTGCAAGATCTCAGAACTAGGGCGTGGCACCATTTTGCTTTTGGACGGTTCGAACCGTCAACCAAAAAGCAACTCTGCCCGCCCCGCAGGTTCAGCGAGCGAAACGACACCTGAATGGCTGCTCCGCATGACGAGTTACACAGTACGAGCATGCGATTAGCTTGTGGAGGATACAACGAGTTGGCGAAGTGAAATGCTTTCGCATTTACAATGCTTTAGGTTCTTAATGTTACCAACTGCCTCACGCCGGGTTCCGAAAACCCCTGAGTCCACCCCACACGACACCTTCCCCGGTTTTTTTTTCACGATCACGCCTACGCTTCACTTCACACTCCGCTCTGCACTTTCCCTGCGGGATAAGACCACGCAGAGGCGAGAGTGACGCCGTAGTTTTCTATGTCATCACGCGTCATACGCCCCGCGTTTACCGCCGGAACCATGGCTGCACGTGCGCTGGCTTCGCGTCTCGCGCCCTCGCAGGGTTTAGCGGGTTCCGCGGGGAATCTAGGCTGGCAGCATTCCTCGCTATGGAGCGATTCGAGACTCGCTAAGGGGTCCATTTTCGTTCCAGTGATCCAAGGTATAACCAGCACAGCCACTAGCAGCACAGAGGAGGAATTATTAATTAGGGTTTGAAAAGCAGAGAGAAGGTGGTGCGATTGTCATGCTTTCAGGCGAGGACGTCGCGTCGCTTTTGAGAATTCTCTGAAAGTGTCTTCGCTTGGGTATTCTCCAACGCTCCGTCTTCTCTGCACGATTCTCAATTCTCCTTTCCCCGCTCGTTCTTTCGACGCGGATGCCGAAATTCTCTCCTTTCCCTTCAGCATGTCTCGAATTCCATTCCGTTCTGACTCGTGGGTCCCGCCATCTCGCGCAATTCTCACCACCTCGCATAATCCTTCCCGCAATTCTCGCGTTCCTCCATCGCCCTTTCATCTCACCTCCCATTTCCCGCTGCCTCCCTCCTTCCGCTTCCTTTCCCCACTCCCCCACTCTCACAGCCTCCCCCCATACGCGCAAGCCCGTTGCGCCAGTGGCCATGGCGCGGAAGAAGTCCGGCTTCGCGCAGCTGCTGTCCAAAGGGTACGCGGAGCGGGGAGGGCGGATGGGTGTGGGTGTGGGGTGGGTGGAGCGGAGGGGAGGGCGGAGAAGTGGGGCGGAGGGGTAGGGCTTACGGGTGGGGAAGCAGCATGGGGTCTGGTGTGGAAGATGCGCGAATGGGAGGGAGATTGCAAGTGGGGTGGGTATGGAGCGCCGGATACTGCCGTCCCACGCGTCCACTATCCCCTTCTCAGCTTAGAATGCCTTCCCTCGCCTCCCCTTTTCTTTGCACCCCTCGACTTCCCCCATCCGCCTTAAGGCTGCCCTTCCCCACTACCCCCCTATGATGGATTTGACGCGCTCAGCGGTTTGACTCTGAGTCAAAACGCGAGCGTTTTGACGCTCTTGACGCCCCCTGTCTGAGGGGTACCCCCAGTTTGACGCTCTGGCGGGCAGGCAAAAAAATCTCGGGCAGGGGTAAAAAAACTTGGAAACCCTAGAATGGGGTTTCCAGAGGAGAATTGTGGTGAAGTTCTAGGGGATGGTTTGGGTTGAGTAGTTTCAAAGGGGTGGAGGGTGGTTTGAGTGTTGGTTTGGTTGGGGCCTGTTTTGGGGCCTCAAAATGTCGAGTTCAACTTGGCGTGTCGCGTTTTGAGCGCAGAATTTCGATGGCGATTTTTTTTTTGTATATATATATTTTTTCGAAATCGGGCTGCCCAAAAAATTTTACCAGTAGCATCAAGCGTCAAAACCCTTTGACGCGTCAAACGTCAAAACGCGGCGTTTTGACCCTTGACGTTTTCTGTTCTGGGCGTCAAATCCATCATAGCTACCCCCATGGTGACCTCATTGGTGCTCCCCACATTCTACCGTACACTGACACTGGCCCCGCTCCCCACTCGTCTCGTCTTCCCCCTCCGCCCACTCGCCCCAGCATGTCAGGCCCGCCAGCAGAGTCGCGCCCCAAGGCCCCCCTGAGGCGCGGAAAGTGGTTATTCCTTTTTCCCCTCCCGCCCAGTACCCCCAACAACAGCCTACGCTGACTGACACTGGTGCTACTACTCCCCAACCCCCCATGCGCTTTTGAGAATTCTCAAAACCAACCCCCCATGTGCCACCCCTCAGCATGTCAGGCCCGCCAGCAGAGTCGCGCCCCAAGGCCCCCCTGAGGCGCGGAAAGCTGTCCCCCATGCGCACAGTGCCTGCACACATCCCGCGCCCGCCCTACGCTGACAGCGGCATCTCCCCGCCCTTCACCATGGAGCCGCAGGTGAGAGAGGGAACAACGACAAGCGGTTCTGAGTGGTTTCAAGCGGTAATGAGGCACCTGTGTGTGTGCCTCTCCCACCCCCCACATTCCACGCCCGCCCTACACTGACAGCGGCATCTCCCCGCCCTTCACCATGGAGCCGCAGGTGAGAGAGGGAACAACGACAAGCGGTTCTGAGTGGTTTCAAGCGGTAATGAGGCACCTGTGTGTGTGCCTCTCCCACCCCCCACATTCCACGCCCGCCCTACGCTGACAGCGGCATCTCCCCACCCTTTACCATGGAGCCGCAGGTGAGAGAGAGAACGACGACAAGCGGTTCTGAGTGGCTATAAAGTGGTTCTGAGCTACAAGCCAATGGCAGCGGGCAGGCACCTGTGTGCCTCTTGCAGTGCCCGCACACATCCCCCGCCCGCCCAATGATGACAGCGGCATATCCCTGCCCTTCACCATGGAGCCGCAGGTGTGTGTGCGAGAGAATGAAGACAAGCGGTGCTGAGTGGCTTTGAGTGGTTGTGAGTGGTAGCCAGCTCCAGGCCAATGACAGCGGGCAGGAACCTGTGTGCCGCTGTCACCACCCACATCCCTCGCCCGCCCTACGCTGACAGCGGCATCTCCCCACCCTTCACCATGGAGCCCCAGGGGAGAGAGGGAACAACAAGCGGTTCTGAGTGGTTTCAAGCGGTAATGAGTGTTAGTTCCAGGCACCTGTGTGCCTCTCCCCCACCCGCCCACATCCCTCGCCCGCCCTACACTGACAGCGGCGTTGCCCCACCCTTTACCATGGAGCCCCAGGTGCATGCGGTGGTGTGCTGTGCGTGAGTTTAAAGCCCCGAGTGCGCGAGATAACGATAACAAGCAATTCTGGGTGGCTTTAAGTGGTTCTGAGCTTCAGGCCAATGGCAGCGGGCAGGCCCCTGTGTGGTGTGCCTCTCCCACCCCCCCACATGCCCCCCACATGCCCCCCACATGCCCCCCACATGCCCCCCACATGCCCCCCACATCCTGCCCTACGCTGACAGCGGCATCGCCCCGCCCTTTACCATGGCGCCCCAGGTGTGTGCTGTGGCGTGCTGTGCACGAGTGACGAGCATGTCGGCACGCCCCCCCCCCCAACCCCCGCTGACAGCAACATGGCCTCGCCCTTTACCATGGCGACCCACATGCGTGCTGTGCTGTCAGCAGGTAAAGAGGCACAGGTCGTGTGCACTGTGGTGTGGTATGGAGGCACAGGTGCGAGAGACAACACGAACGAGCGGTTCTGAGTGGTTGGGACAGGCCCCCTTACTGGCTGTGCGTGGTTTTGAGCGATAGCTCCGGGCTCCAGGTGAATAGCGGGTGAGAGAGTACGAGGACCATGGATGGATGGAGTCACATGTCTCTGTCTGTGCCCTCCTGCATTGCCGGTAGAGCCACACTCCACTCTGTGCTGCTGGCTGGCAGTGGTGCCGCATGGTGCTGGCAGTGGTGCCGCATGGTGCTGGCACAGGAGACGCTGCTCTGCTAGTGCATCACTTTCAGCCACACTCACTCACTCATGCTATCGATCCCTCTCTCTCACAAACCACACCCTCCTGTCTCATTGGTACCTGGCATGGCATGGTATGATGTGTGGTATGGCATGGTGTGGCATGGCATGGCATGGCATGGCATGGCATGGCATGGCATGGCATGGCATGGCATCACAGGTGCATGGGGAGGAGGGCCAGCGGCGCATGAGGGAGGCGGGACAGCTGGCAGCACGAGTGAGAGACCACGCTGGCACACTTGTGAAGGTGCGTGGGGGCCTGGCAGGGATGGGTGCGTGGGGGCCTGGCAGGGATGGGTACGTGGGGGCGTGGCAGGGATGGGTGCGTGGGGGCCTGGCAGGGATGGGTGCGTGGGGGCCTGGCAGGGATGGGTGCGTGGGGGCCTGGCAGGGATGGGTGCGTGGGGGCCTGGCAGGGATGGGTGCGTGGGGGCGTGTCAGGGATGGGTGCGTGGGGGCGTGGCAGGGTTGGGTGCGTGGGGGCCTGGCAGGGATGGGTGCGTGGGGGCGTGGCAGGGATGGGTGCGTGGGGGCGTGGCAGGGATGGGTGCGTGGGGGCCTGGCAGGGATGGGTGCGTGGGGGCGTGGCAGGGATGGGTGCGTGGGGGCCTGGCAGGGATGGGTGCGTGGGGGCGTGGCAGGGATGGGTGCGTGGGGGCGTGGCAGGGATGGGTGCGTGGGGGCGTGGCAGGGATGGGTGCGTGGGGGCGTGGGAGGGATGGGTGCGTGGGGGCCTGGCAGGGATGGGTGCGTGGGGGCGTGGGAGGAGAAGGAGAAGCACGTCACGGCAAGAAGGCCTTCTCCTTCTGGTCGTGAGGCCCTTCTTTCTGCGAGGCCCTTCTCCTTCTCACAGCCCGGAGTCACAACGGACGAGATCGACCGGGTGGTGCAT